TATTTATGCATAAAAACTAATTTTTGTCATTTTCTAATTTTCTACAGCGTGCAAATATATGGCTTGCTGCAGTTACTAAACAAAATGTAAACGCTGCTATGGTTTTTGAGTTTTTATTGAAGATCATTGAAGTAATGCAAAGTTACTTCGGCAAAATCTCTGAAGAAAATATCAAGAATAATTTTGTTTTGATTTATGAACTTTTAGATGGTATGAGCATGATATCTTGATTATTACATTACGTATGAGTGTAACGTGCCTTGTTTTTAGAAATACTTGACTTCGGTTATCCACAAAACTCAGATACTGGAGTTCTAAAAACTTTCATTACTCAACAAGGTATTAAATCTGCTTCTAAAGAGGAACATGCACAAATAACATCTCAGGTATATTCAATGTTTTTGTATATGATAAGATTAGAATGTATATGGTGATGTGTCAATTTCCATTTATTATTTTTAGGTAACTGGTCAAATTGGATGGCGTAGAGAAGGAATTAAATATCGTAGAAATGAATTATTTTTAGATGTCTTGGAGTATGTTAATCTATTAATGAGCCCTCAAGGTTAGAATCTGTTTTGCTATTTTGATTAAAAGCAATAATTTGAACTTTTTTTTAATTTGTGCAATTGTTCCATTTAATTAAAAGAAAATATTATATTGGTGTTTTATCATTATTATCCATACATTATTTTTTATATCAATTATTAATTCTATTTTTTTTTAAATTCAGGTCAGGTACTCTCTGCTCATGTAGCCGGAAAGGTTGTTATGAAATCTTACTTGTCTGGCATGCCAGAATGTAAATTTGGAATCAATGATAAAATTGTAATGGAAGCCAAGGGAAAAGGTGGATTGTCCGGAAACAATGACTCAGATCCTGCACGGTCTGGCAAACCAGTTGTTGTCATAGATGACTGTCAATTTCATCAGTGTGTCAAGCTATCTAAATTTGAAACTGAACATTCAATTAGCTTCATTCCACCTGATGGAGAATTTGAACTAATGCGGTAAGTAGAAGATACTTTTTGTAAACAGTTTTTGATCTTTAGTAAATTGATATTCATGTCAAATCTTTGCATTTTACCCCATTTATTGCTGTGATTATTGATGATTTGTATGTTAATTTCTTTAATTACATTAATTATTGAATAATTATTTTTTTCTATATTAGCTATCGGACTACTAAAGATATATCACTGCCATTCCGAGTTATTCCCTTAGTCCGAGAAGTTGGTCGCACTAAGATGGAAGTGAAAGTGGTTTTAAAAAGCAATTTTAAACCATCACTTCTAGGACAAAAAATTGAAGTTAAAATTCCTACACCATTGAATACATCTGGTGTGCAGTTGATTTGCTTAAAAGGCAAAGCCAAATACAAGGCATCTGAAAATGCTATTGTATGGAAGTAAGTTTTCAATTATTATTACTAAAATACAATTTGAATTATTGGTTAACGAATTGATTTATTTTTGGGCATAAATTTTAGACAAACTTGTTAAGACAAACACATGATTATTTATTTCATGTATAAATTTTTGATCTATCTTCTAAATGCATTTCTAAGTTTACTTACAAATTTTTTTTTATAATTGTTCAGAATCAAACGAATGGCTGGTATGAAGGAAACTCAATTGTCTGCTGAAATTGAATTATTAGAAACCGATACCAAAAAGAAATGGACGCGCCCTCCAATTTCAATGAACTTTGAAGTTCCATTTGCTCCATCTGGTTTTAAAGTATGTTTAATATTTATTAGTTTTTGAGATATTGAAATATTTTATTAATAAACTCGATCTCATTTCAAATAGGTACGGTATTTGAAAGTGTTCGAACCTAAACTGAATTACTCAGATCATGATGTCATAAAATGGGTTCGATATATTGGCCGAAGTGGTTTGTATGAAACTCGTTGTTAAAATATGAGGTTCACATCGACTTATGACAAATGCAATGTCCAAGATTAAACCCAGAACTAGAACTGTACTAAAAATTGCCAATCATCAAACATGATCTTCATATTGATTTATGAATATATCAACCTTCAAAACAATCTGTTTGATATAAATTTGGCTAATTATTAAAATGTTAATGTTTTTAATTTTTAAGAATCTATTATACTTTGAATTCTTGTATGGAGAAGTATTGTTATAAGTATGGAGTCTTATTTGTATTGGATATTAAGAAATCTCACAGTAATATAATAATTGTATAAAGTATGTAGATACTTCAAAAAACTAATAATATATAATTGTTAAAAAATTTAAATATGGTCATAGGTGCATTATTAAAAATATAATTTAAAGAACTGTTGATGAATATTCAAAGGCTTTGTCTATCTTCCCTTATTTGAAATGACCAAATGTATGCCAGAATGTATACCTAGGAACATAGTGTTCCTGCACAAAAATTTAAAGTTGACTATCACTTTATAACCAGTTAATAATTTTCATAAATTTGTTGTCCTGTAGCCCATTGATTAAA